TATTAGAAAGCTCCTCACTAATTCCAAAGTATGAACAGAACCACCATTGCTAAGAGATCTTGCAACTTGCATGTTATTAATGAACAGCTAGAGGAAAGTCATGAGACGGTACCTCATCAAATAGGAAAGAGGCATATGACTTTTTAGTTGGGAAACAGACAGCCAATACATTTCTAAAACAGTCTGATCAACATATAGTGACAGCCTAAGTGTTTTGTTTGCCACATTTCTCAAAGATAATTTTTACAAAACATTCATATCACTGAACTTCAGATCTGCCCAGGCAACTGCTTTGGTTGCAGTTCTCATGTAGATAAGGGCCTAACCATCTCAGAAGAAAGCTTGCTTCAAAGTGATACATTCAGACACAATGTCCATGCTCAGAGTCATTTCAACCAACGAGGGAGTCAGACACAAAGACAGGGCTGTCATCTTCCACACTGCAGAGTTACCTGGACATCAAGGTCTGAGTAACACATTCGGAAACATTTGTCTGCTTTATTGTGTAGGTTATGGCAACAGCTATCATTGAAAATGTTTCAATCTTTTGATTGAAAGAAGAAAGAGGAAGAAAGGAAGAACAATGTATCTGAAGAAAAATTTGCCTAAACCTCTTACTCCCTTTATGAAAGGGAAAGGCTGTACCACATTGAAAGCAATACTGAACACAGTAAAACTGTACTGAAAGAAAGTTAGTCTGAAAGTCTTTTCCTAAACAAGGAAGAAACAATACAAAATGAGAAGCAAAGACAGAAAATGGTGTTCATATCTGGTGAGGACTTTCTGACAGACCTGCCTCAAAAGCAGACAAACTGAATGACAAGTTATAAGCCAACCCAAAATTTTTATCACTAATATTCTGAAAAAAACAAATGTGTAACAAAACCTTGAGTTTTGGCCAGCTACATTAAATGTTTACTGGAGAAAAAACAAGAAGAGAAACAAATAAGAAGATAATGGGGATGGAGAGGAAAAAATCACAGAATAGGAGCAACCAGAGAAAACCAGAGAATGTTTTTTTCCATTGGGCTAGTGGAGAAGGCAACATCATTCAGAACTCTCTGGACGGTTCCAGTCAAGGGTCTGCTTTAGTCACTGACAAAACAAGAAAGGTCACAGATTATATAACTGTTACCAATGCCACCACCAGTGAAGGATGACCTAATATTGATTCAACTCTGGCCAGAGCACACAATTTCTCCTCTTTTCTAGCCAACTTCGACATTACAAAATTCTGTACTTAGTACACCAGGTCCAGCAACCTGACACCACTGGTAACTGATTAACAACTGTTCTGTTAGAGATATCCCAAACATGAAAGGCTTTCAAGGGGCAACCAGAGGAATTCTGAACCTGTACTTTACCAAGGAAGCACTGATGCACAACAGTACTTACAGAGCATGCACAGAATCCAGCCTTTACTGTAAATGTGGAGATCTCTCCTCTTTTTCATTTATCTACCCCACATTTCTTCTTTCTCTATGACTGTTTCCTTTTTAAAAGAAGATATCCAGAACACTTAAATGACTAAGCTTTGGACATTGCTAGTCCAACTCTGTTATTCCATCACAAAAATCTCCCAATCTGACAGTTAGCATCAAAGCCCTTTTAAAATGCATTTTACCATAAAAGTAACCTCATGACACCATAATACTGAAGCTCTATTAGTAGCTCATATGCTTGCACTACATATCAAAGGTAGCAGAGAGAAAACCTACATTTGGAACCTAAGCAAGCAGTATCTTGAATCTGAACACTTCATTAAACCCTGGTGCTGAATATGACATTTTCACTCTTCACAAATTAGAAAACTTATTGAAATGATAACACACAAAGATTAGAATTCATGTTTCTATCCACAAACCAGTGAGGCTTCCTATGTGCATAAGACATAACCCTGTAGTTCGCAAGTTTCACAGTTTTGTAATCAGTTGTATATTTCCTCCTGTTTCAGTAAAGAAGCATAACTCTACAACTTTCTAAACAGAGACTCAAAAATAAGCATGAGTGTCATCTTCAAGTCCATAGATGCTGTATACACAAAAGTATTTTTCCTGATTTCAGGAAGACAGTTCTTTCACGCTGAGAAAATGTCCTAATTATGGACTTTGTTCTTATCATTAACTAAAAGATCTTGACAGTTTGGGAATAAGAAAAGTTAACAAATAATTTTTGTAAGAAAAGCCCAAGGTGCTACATTCTGCATAAATTTGTATTTGAACACAGTTAAGTTACTCATTATTAAGTAAACAATAACCAAGATTTCTACTTCTCTAATCCACTGTACCTGTCCAAATTTGCCACAAGAGAAAAAATACACATTTGTTTCTAGATGGAAACTAGCAATACATACACAAACACAGAGGTCTACCAAGCAAACCTAAATACAATAACTTACTCAAAACAAAACAATGTAATGAAACTAAGCTTCATGACAAACATTACTCACTCTCAATATTCTCTGGAGCCATGTGCCTCAGTCTCTACAACAGATAAGAATAACAATGTGCCCAAATAATTTTTATATGTCCTCATATAAAAATAAACAGACAACTTTACTCCAAATTAATTCAACAGAATTACTCCTTCCTAAGTAAATTTAAATTCTGTCTGAGTATAACCATAAGGTGCAGTACTGATTATTTTCTAAACTGAGTATACCAAGTCTAACAGGAGCATAAATCTGTATGCCTGTGCTGATAAGACCACAAGTATATACTGCTAAGAAAACAAACATATGCCTATGATCTTAATTAGAAAAGCTAAAGGAGTCATGTTACGTTAATGATCTAATTTCTGATCACTAAGCTATTCTAAATGTTAAAAAAAAAATAGTTCACATACCTAACCTTTTCATCCCTACATTTATTCCTCCATACAGCAGCAATTATTAAGAAGAGTACATTTTTTAATTTGCTGTCTTTTCATAGCTGAAACAGCAGCAACAGCTAGAGGGTCCAAATCCCCAAAGTACAAAAATTCTGTTTCCAGGTTAAAGGAGATGCTGAAGGAGAAAATAACATTTCATTTCTGGTTTACAAACACACATAAAAAGGGGGCTAGGAAAATTGTAAGAAATCAAGGTGTCCCCTTTCAAAATGGGAAAATAATTATTTGCAAAAATTGTTAGCCTGGAATTCAAAACAATTACATTTAGGTGAAAAAAAACCTAAAACTGTTCTGTTTGGTTATGCCTCTTGGCTTTCCTCTAAAAAAAAAAAAAAAAAAAAAAACTACTAAAGTTAGGCCAGAAGCTATTCTCAATGAAATTACAAATTATGATACAAAGTTAAAAGAGTTTAACAATGATCAAACAGGATTTACAGTACAAAATAAGTGTATTCTGAAAGACTATCTGAACCTATTGGGAGACTAAATCGTTATTTAAATTATAACACCATATGTGCCTGGTACTGCATTCTGGGAACACTTACATGTGAAAATTATTACAACTCTCTGATCAAAAGAAAATAATAACCCAACTTGCACACCATGAAGTTGTACAAAATATGCAAAGAAAAATATGCATTCTGTTGGCACTCCCTTTCCACTTTAACTTTTACAGTAATAGGTAGTGGCACACATGTCCTATCCTTCAGGAACAAAGGGAACAAACCCCCCATGTGACTTTTGCATCTGGTCCAACACGATCTACTCATATTAAGGATCTGACTGACTGGAATTTACAAGCACGCTAAGGATTTCCACTTGTATCTACCGTGCTGTTCTAGCGATATATTGTCACAATCACCTTGCGGCCAAGCGCTTCCCAGGAAGGGAAGGAGGGGAAGGGCTCCAGCCTTCGCGACATCCCTTGCTCCCGGCAGCGGGATCAGCACTCGGCAGAGGAACAGCGCCGGGGGCTCCCGCGGGCTCGGAACGCCGCTCGGGTTAAACACCGCTAGCGGTAATAAATAACTTCAGGGTTAACTCCAGGCCTCCTCTCCCATCAATGTCCCCTCTTTCACTCCAAGCATCCTCCTACTCCTAAGCGAGCTCACAACGCTGCTTTCCATGAACAACCGTGTCTTCCCAGGCTCCCGGTGAAACCTACTGAGCTTGACGCCTAAAAATTCCGCCGGTATCTCTGGCCCCTTCCTCGCACAGAAGCGGCGCTGACGCCCGTGTACACCGGAACCCCTCGGGGCTCGGTTCCTGGGCGCGTCCCCCTGCGCGGGGCACCGGGATACCCGCAATACACCGGCAAAGGAGCCCCCAGCCCGTCACACCCGCAGCGGCTCCGGGAGCCCTTCCGTGCAACCACCGCAGGTCATGTGCCACGGGTTTATTAAAGGATCATCCGTGCGCTGTGAGCAGCAGCACCATAAATGCCCTCCTCCCCCACCCAACAGAGAGCACATAGGCACAAGCATCCCCACCCACCCCCTCCCAATCCCCAAAGTAAAGGCCAGGGAGGGGGAGGGGAAGGGGAAGGAGCCATCCCAAAGGAGCTGCCGTGCGGAGCGTGCCGAGCTCGGGCATTCCCGCGGCCGGGAGCTGAGGCCGCCTCCCGCCCGGGGAAGGCAGGCAGGCCCGGCACCTGCCGGCCCGCAGCCTGCGCCGGCCGCGGGCTCCCTCCCTTCCCCAGCGCCTTCGCACTGGCGGCTCCGCCGCGCTCGGAGGAAGCCGGGCCGCGTCCCGGCCCCCGATCCCCTCCGGCATTCGCCCACCCGCGCACTCCGTCCCCTTCGCGCGGGTTATCCCCGGGTCAGTCCCCGTGGCTGCGGTGCCCGCCCGCCTGCGGCAGCGCTGCCCAGCGCCGGCCGGCTCCGCTCACGCTGTCCGCCGGCGGCCGGAGCGCCGCCCCCACGCCCCGACCCCGGCTCCGGGCTTCGGGTACCGCACGCACGGCGGAGGGGCGCTCCCTGCGCAGCGGCGGCGGCGCCGCCACGGGAGAGACAGACGGCCGGCGGGGCACCCCGCGAGGCGGCCTGAGGCGCGTACCGACCCGCGGCCGCCCCCCGCGCGTCCCCAGCGCAGTGCCCGGCGCGGCCCGGTACCTGTGAGGACGCCGACGCGGATCTGGTGGTCGTGGTTCGTCAGGATCATCCCCTCCGACGCCATGTTCGCGGCGCAGCACCGCACTGCCGGGGGGGGCGGGGGGCGGCGCGGGAGCGGCGCGGGCGCAGAGGGGGCGGGGCCGGGGTAGCGGGGCGGGGCCAAGGCGGGGCCAGGGCTACGACGGCGCCGGTGGGGGGGGGCGCGCGAGACTAGCGCGGTGCGCGCGGCGCAGGCAGCACCAATCCAGCGCCGAGAAGGCAGCCCGAGCCGCGGGATCCCTGATTCCAGGGGGCTGGCAGTTTAATTCCTGAAACTTCGGAAAGGGGAAAAGACAGAAAGCAAGGATGGTAATGATCCCTGCTCTTGGTTGGCACGAAACCACAGATTGAATTAGGTTGGAAAAGACGTCAGTGATCGTCAGCTATGAGCAGCCTTGTCGAGTAGAGCATGGCACTGACGGCACATGCCGTGTTCCCTCAAACACCTCCGCGGACGGTGGCTGCACACCTCCCTGCGCAGCCCCTTGCGATGCCCAATAATCTGTTTCTGTGAATAATCTCCTCCTGACATCCAGCCTGAGCCTCCCCTGCTGCAGCTAAAGGCTGTGTCCTCTTGTCCTGTCCCGGGTTGCCCGGGAGAAGAGGCCGACCCGCACCTGGCTGCCGCCTCCTTTCAGGTGGAGAGTGAGGAGGTCCCCCCTGAGCCTCCTGTTCTCCAGGCTACAAATACAGACATACCATTTTTTTCCCACCAATTTTCTCAGCAGGGCTCAGCAGGGTGTTTTTTCTACCTCTCCGGGCCTCTTCTCTCACCTGTGAGCCCTTTACTGAGACTAAAGCTGTTGTTGCACAGACAAAGCAACAGTTGTTTTGACAAAGCAACTTACTGTCATCTTTTTTTGTCTTACTTACATTACATTGGATACTCTCAGGAAGCAAATATTTAAACTCATTTTGAATGAATACATAGGCAAACGTCTTCCACATTTATTAGCACCATCATCAATCACAAATGATAACCCACTGTCAAAATTCAGGTCCCCCAATTTCAACAGATCTTTATATTTTTGGGTTTTCCTCTTGCATTTTCAATGTGTCTTACTAATAGCAGACTCTGTATTAGTCTCCTTTTGACTGCCTACTAACAAGCAATTATTGAAAGCATTTGTAATTTGCATGTACATAAATGAACCACTTCAGTTTTCTCCTTAGCATATCACCTTCTTAGATGAACGACTAGCACCAAAAAAAAAAAAAAACTCTGCTGTCTATGGGAAAGTGGCACTAGTAGCACTTTGGTGGGGTGGTGCACCAGCACACGCTATCAGTATTTCGGTATTGGCACAGCAGTTGCAGTGTGTGCAGCCATAGAGACTGAGAATGCAGGCTCCAGGGATCTCTGGTTATGCAATGGTATAATACAACATATGTGGGTGGGTGTAAGCCTGAACCCAAAACAGCATGGTTACTGAAGATATACTGCATCGCTGGTGCTCATACTGCCGTTCCCTCACGGGTTCAGACACTATTTGTTGAATGTTCTGCTGTAGACAAGGCAAAAAGACTTTTTTTTTTTTTTTTTTTTTTTGCAAACGTATCTGAAATTATCTAAAGTGCAAGCAAATAGCTTGACATTTTGTAGTTCCTGCAGAGGATTCTCACACCCTAAAAACAGTATTGTTTATTCAGAGCATCTCAGTCTCCCTGTGTAGCCTGTTGATTTGTTGCTCTTGTGGATGGTGAGAAGGAGGAGCAAAATTCAGATTTCACTGGCAGCATTAGGTTTGTTATTTCTGGACGTATAAGTGCCTACTAGAGGGATTTGTATGAGAATTTTTTTGTATAAAAATGTAGTAGATTATTGTATTAAAGCAATAAAATAAGTTTACAAATTTTTAAAAGACTGAGTAAAGGAGAAGCTGAAATTGATAACAGGGGGTTTGTTACTATGATGTGAAAAGCCTTGTAAACTAGGTGGTAGTTCCATGACAGTCCAAGAGAAGGTTGAGAATGGGATGATGTCCTGCAGGCAAATTTGTGACACAGTAAGAAAACAAATGTGTGTGATGCAGAAGCCTTTTACTTCAAGGACATATTCCAGGTAACGTGCTAGCAATCCACACTGGAGTTCATGTTGACTATCCAGAGAAAAACAAGTTTTCCTCATCAAAGTCAATATAAAGCTGCCCTGGTCATGGCAGAGTTGAAGTATAACTCAACTCAGTAACCTCTCAGCAAATATTTTACATTATTTTGTCTACCAGCTGGTAATTACCACTGTCTCTCTGCTGACTGAAGCACTGCCTTTTCACCAAGCTGGCTCTGCCAGCCATGCTTGTTCCATGTGGTCTGCTGGGAAACAGAGTGGCTTTCTCAGTTTATCATGAGCACCACTGAATTACATCTTTTACTCATTTGGGGAAAACAGTTTGAGCAGACAGGAAGCTCCTGTACTAACTTCTGCAGTAACTTGTAGAAATCTTAATTTAAAAAAAAAAAAAGGAGCCTTCAGTATGATTACAAGAAGATAACAGTTTGTTCTCTTCATTACAGTGTGGGAAAGGATGGTTTAAACTCTCATTGAAAGTGATCAGACACTTCACGTTTAGAATAAATATTCAGTATAATTTCTATAGTTTTGTTATCATGTAGGTCTGCTTCTTTTTTCAGTGACTCCTTAACTATAATTTCTTTATTCTGTTTTGTTTAGAACTGGTTGGATGTTTGGATCAGCAGTGGGACATGGATGTTCAACTGTGTGACATTGGTGCAGATCCTGCTGAAGACATTAAATAACTGGTTTAATAAATCATTAATCAAATTTAAAACATTTTCATTTGTGACACTGGTGCAAATCCAAGTAAGGTCAAGAGACTAGCTGGCTCAATGGTTAAGTGATAGAAAACAAGGTTGTACCTCCAGCTTATTCATGTGAGTCTGTAAAGAGTCAGGAAACTAAGGCAGAGACCTTAAAAAAAAAAGATTTTCCAATTCAGCTGTTGTTTTAAAGTCAGTCTATTACAGGTTATTACTTTATGATTTGTTTAAATACTCTGTGTTGATCTATAAATCTTGAAAAAGAAGAGTATAAACATTTTTTGTGTAGCCACTGATATAGCACAATATTCACACTCTAAAAGAAGATACAAGAGGTAATTTCTCCAAACAATCCATTTCCTCGGGCAAGCATCTATGGAAAATACAGAACATGCCCCATATTTTAGCTATGCAGGGTTAGACAGCCATCCAAATGTCTTAATGGCTATACCATAGTCCATCCTTGCCACCTGAACATTGCCAGAGGCCTCCTGAGAGTCCTTTCTGGGCTTACACTTCCAGTCATGAGTAGGAACCCAATTTCAGTGATTGCTCTAACTATTAGTGGGAAGGAAAATGTGTTTTGCTTGCAGTAAAACTTAATTACTCCTTGCATTGCGCCAATATTTGCAAGGTCAAATCTGTCTACTAAGCAAATAACCTATGTCTGTGAGATTACAAGATAAGAGAAACTGTTAACTCTTCCACTTGGTAACAAACTACATCACAATGTAGCTGATTCTTGTTTGCAATATGGGCATTTGCAGAAATGACAGGCATGTGGAAAACTCCAAAGGAAAAGTGGCCTTGAGAGACATCCATGCATACTCTCTCCCTTCCTGCCTCCTCCCACTCAGCTGCCTACTGTGGTGCAACTTTTGAAATGGCACCATATGCTCTGGGATACAACCTCAAGTATATTCTTAGAAACATCAACATCTGGAAGAGTGATATTTACTGAGCTTATATGGTATGACTTTGATGGCTGTGCTAGTGACAGCCTTTTGAGCTGCCTCCAATTCAAACCCATTGCAGCCTTTTTTCTCTTACTCTCATACCTGGTCAGACCAAAAAAGCTCTTCCTCTCCAATCATCCTTGCCATGATAAAGGTTATAGCAAAACCCTGTGTTCTCATTATTTAATGCACAAAGTAGGTCTATCCAGCTTGTCTTTTCTTTACATGATGTCCTTTTTTTCCCAGGTGTTACTGTTTTGCTGCTCAGTTGAATAAATGTTTCTGTTTCCATGAGTCTTTGGAAAAGAATGTTCTGTAGATCTTTATCTAGGACATGTTGGACCACTGTGGTTCTTTGCATTATGCAGACACACAAATTTTTGTCCAGACTTTCCCACACTGAATTCCTAGGCAGGGAAGTTCCAGATTGAAGTATGTCCTCAGCATGGGAACAAGCTTTGAATCCTTCTCTAAGGAGCAGTGGAGGTCCTGCAGATCCTGTGATAAGGATTATCTTTTGATCCATCATCTTCATCTTTTTGTCCACCATCCATTGAGCTGCTCCTACTATCTTGGTCCTACCTTGAAAATGATGCACCAGATATTTTGCTGTAGTTACTCTAATCTGACAAAGCAGGCTTTTCTTGAATAGCACTACACTAAAAAAGGGTTTCCTTTCTTTCAGAATTGGGCCAGCCAAAGGCAATCTTCATGCTCCCAGGTGCCAGTTCTCCTGGGACACTGCAGCCCTTACTGCAGTGTGCAACCCATCTGAGAGCAGAACCAAAGCCTTTGGGATATGTTTGCAATATGTGTGACATCTGACTACAAATGCAGTGCGGTTGATTCACTACTAGTATGGGTGCCTGACAAAAATAAATGAATCTTAGCGTGACTCCATGAGTGGTGTTGACACATTCAATTGTCTGTGCTTCATTTGCTGCAAAACAGTAGCTATTTTAGAAAAGCATTTGATGAGTTTAGCATACACAAAGAGTAGACAGATTTAAAAGACATCTTACTGGAACATTCTATTTTTGAGATTTCACTTTGACAAAACTGCCTCATTAAGGACTTGGATATGAAAAGCAGGAAAATGCTTTTGGATCTCATGTAAACTAAATTCAGAATTCTGACGAGCTGAATCAGTTCTTTCCATACATTATTTTCCTTTATCTGTATTTCTCCTTGGTTCTTTGTAAGAGATGACATAAAACCTTAAGGTATCTCGATCTTGATTAATGAACAAGATGACTCCAAAGTATATGAAATAAGGGAGAAAGAGGAAAGAGAAGGTATTTTGAACCCAAATTAAATTATAATATTTTGGAATGAACTAACCACAAATGATCATCAC